GAGCAGAAGATGGGAGTTGGAAACAAAACACGCTTCGCCACAACTCCCATGGCATGTATAACTGAGGTGGTCGATTAAACCGGCTCGGGATAGCTGTTTAGTTGAGTAATGAGAGAAGTGTCGCGAGGTGTTAATCTGTGCCAAGTATGTCACGGGTCTGACGATTCCGATCTCCCGGCGTGTTTGAGAGGCCAGCTAGATTATTGAGGGGCCAGTTCCAGTCGAGAGCACTAGGGCTCGCGTGCAAGAACTATTATTCGGCTGTATCTACTCCGATTATCAATCAGGGCTACGGAACGCGTCTCAACGCCAAGGACGGTTGAAGAAGCACTGGCAAAACATTGGCGTTTGGTCACATGCATGCATGTTGTTATACGTAGTCGCAGGGTAGCCCACTTGAAAGGAGGAGTATGGTATGAAATGAGTACAAGAATGAGTCGCTCAGCCGGCAATTGGTTGTCAAGGATCAAGAGGACTTTTTCCTTTTTGAAGACAAGGAAGAAAAACGGGTTCGCAATCTTCTGTTCTCTTTCGCCGATTATTTGTTATTCTATTTTGAGTTTTTGGCGGTCGAACAGGAGTTTGAACTGGCGTATCAAACAAGGGTGTTGGGTCTATGGAATAATGGAGAACGGTGTCAGAACTGCCTGATCAGTGACTTGATACAGAGTCCAGCAACATGCTAAGCCCAAGATGGGGTATTCTGATCAAGAAAACAAGTCAAGCTCGGCGCAAAGGTGTCTAGGGTATGCTGGGTATAGTGTGGGCTGATTGCCGGCAGGATTGATTGGTGGGGTTTCTCTTCCGGAAAGCGGCAGCCTAAAACACACCAGGATGTCAATGATGTCGAGAAAGATCAGTTCCGGGAAGTCAGAACACATGGGTGCGTGGTTGAAATGACCCAAACCCGGCCCCCCTTCGTCCAAGGATATGGAACTATTGTGCGTGGTCGGCGGGCCGAGAAAGGAGGCGCGTGTATCAAGTGTGTGGCAGCATCGTCCCGTCTTGGAGCGCATCAGCTCAATATGGCCAAGTTGGGAAGAAGAAAGGAGGGGGTTGGGGGCGCTAATACTCGAGGCCTCCCGTCGTTGAGACAGCAGGATTGGGCAATGGATAGTGCGACGGGCCGTTGTGGTGATACGTGGGTTTGAGACGGGGTATGCAAACGTAGAGCAGCCCTTTTGGCAATGCAGGACTCCTTCAAAAGCAAAAGATCTGGTGCGGTTATGCACTTTTGTGGTCGGGGACAGGGCGGTATGCGAGACGAATGCGGCGTTTCTATTTTAGGATGAACGTGAGATCGGGCCATGGTGAATTGACTTTGTATCAGCAGCATCTTTGTCCGTGATATTTTTTTCCGGTTGGGTTCGGCCGAGATGAGATGATGCTTCCCCGGCTGCGTTAACCGCGTTGGCGACCTGATCTGACTGCCTTTGGCGTAACTTGTTCGTTCGCCGTCACATGTGCCGTAATAGACTGCGCCGAGGGTGGTCCACTTGCCCATGAGGGCCGATGGCGTTCAAAAGACGTTTGATTTGCATGAGATGATGGCCGATGACCGGAATAGTGTCCTGGGTGGGAATCTTGTATCAGCCCTTGGTTTGGGCGGGACGGCGGAGTTCATGCGAGATTTCGCTTGAAGATCTGTTGACGAGAACGGAGGAGCTGTGAGAATATGCTAAGCCCGTTGTTGTGCGTCGTTTGCTTTTGGAGTCGTTTGTCGGTCGTGGCCGTCTGTTCGCGGGTTCACGGGCGCTTGACTGGCGCTTGACTGGCGCTTAGCGGCGCTTGGCACGATAAGCTCATGTTGGTTGGTCATGATGGTGGCCATCGTCTAACAGCAACGGGCGGGGGCCATGGGCAACTGACGGCAGACGATACAAGTGACACACTGTGAGCCCTGTGCTGTGGCACCAGAGACACCACCGTTGACATCGACCCGCAACCGGCCATCTCCACCACCATTTGCGCGGCTGCCGACGCCGCTCCAAGTCCATCCAAGGTGGGTGATGGATGTCTCAGCGTGACCCCGTCTCCGTCATCAAAACCAATCGTGCGAACCTGCAGTTCTTTCACCCTCATTTCGCTGCCGACGTCGACACCGGTCGTGAACCACGTTGCACCACTAATGTCGCTTCGCTCGACTTGAGCCCCGATGACCACGACCGGTCGCCCTCGCCGATTGTCGATGCGAGCACCCATTCGTCCATCTGCCCGTTGCCCATCGCCCGACAGTCCGGCCGTTCCGACTTTCAACACTAGCCTCTTTAATCTGCATTTGCCCGTTACGTTTTTTGGCGGCGATAACGTGGAAATCACCTGCCGAACTTACGAATGGCCATGGCCGACTGCTTGGCTGCCGGCCTTTGTGGCGGTTCTTGGTTGACGCTGCTCGTCATGTTTTTTGCCATGTCGGTGGTTTCTGCACAGGATGGCATCACTGTCGTTACGTCCGCCCAGAAGGATGTCCCAGATTGGGCGAACCCGAGCGCCCTCAATATGGCCATCACGCTCCAGCCGGGGGGCAAGCCTTCATCGTCGACGTACACTGTGATTCCATTGACTTCAAGCGTGGGACTCAATGGAACTGGTGTGATCCGTGGGGTGAGCGCTCGCTTTTTTGAGGACAGAGTTATGGGAGACAATTCACCGCTAACGAACTGATTTTCTAATCCTTCTTTTCGCTCCATAGACCATCAATATCATGGGCCACCTTGAGGCAGCCAATGTTTCTTCCTACAACGACTTGTCCGGAGGTGACACCATCGCCTTCTTATCCTGCGACAAGCCTGCTTCAGACGGATTCATTGGTCCCGATAAGATGCTCAGCAGACTCATGACGGCGTCGTTAAAGGCAATCATCCTCTACACCATTGATCAAAACATCTGTCTCATCTCACACGAGGGCACTCTGCCCTATACAAGCATCTTGTCCATGGCCGATTCCGGCGAGGCAGGAGGAGTCCTGTCGTATTTGAACGGTACGCAGCCAGTAACGAGTGCCGATGCCCAGATATCTGGCAAGGGCGGGCAGCCAAGTCCCAACCCTGGATCAAGCGATGGCGGGGGAAGCAATTCGGCAGTTGCTATGAGCATTTTGTATAGCATCACTGGTATCATCACCTTGCTGTTCTTGGTCATCATTGCCACGGGTGCCATTCGTGCGCATCGATATCCTGAAAGATACGGGCCGCGCGGAGGACTTGGTGGACGACCCCGTCAAAGCAGGGCAAAAGGCCTGGCTCGTGCTGTGCTGGACACAATTCCGATTGTCAAATTCGGGAACCAAGAACCTGCAAAGCCTGATCCAGAACTTGAGCTTGACGGTGCTATGGCAGATGGACACGAAACGACATCTCACAGAGCCGTGACCAATACCGGGGAGAGCGAGCCGCCGGAAGCGAAGACAGCCGCTGCTGCTGCTGCCGCCCTCGCAGATAGGAAAGATAAAAGTGGACAATTGTCGTCGGAGCAGACTTCAAAAGCGCCTGACGCAGCTTCTGCTCACGCTGAAAATGAAGAAGGGGAGGAGCACCTTGGCTGCTCTATCTGTACAGAAGACTTTACGGTTGGCGAGGATGTGCGAGTATTGCCTTGCAACCATCAGTTCCACCCTCATTGTGTCGATCCCTGGCTTGTCAACGTTTCTGGAACGTGCCCCCTGTGGTAAGTGGACCTGCGCGGGAATGCCATTCGTATCAGGAGCCATGCTAACAATAGTAGTCGTTTGGATCTTCGCCCTGGCCGGCAGGGTCCCAATGATCAGTCCTCGTCCAACCCAGAAGAAAATCTGGCGCCTCCCTTGGTTTTGGAGGGAGAAGATGGCGAGAGCTCTCATGCGACTCACAGTCATCGACTCAGTCGTCTGCTGGATGTTAATCGATTACGGCAGGCTGGTGTGGAAGAGCGGATAGCTGCCCTTCGACAAATGCGAGCTCACTTTACAAACCACGAAACTCGAGAGCCGGAGACTGTGGAGGAGAGACCACAAGCCGCTCGACTGACGGACAAGCTAAAGGACAAATTCCGTATACGAACAAGGTCGCAACCTGCGAATCCTTGATGGCCCCATTATGCTCTCCTGATATATATGTATATTTTCTTCGTTCGGAATATTCGCATGGAAGGAATCGCTTCGCACACAAATGTTATAATGACTGATGGGGGTATGCTAAAAGAATGACACCTCGCAACCCATGTAGCTGGGCTACGGTAAAGGCGATATAGGACCTTGATAGGCTCTGATCTGGTAATATGATTGGCGTTGGGCTACTTACTTTTCTGGAATTACTTGCTCAAGATATTCAAGAAGCATTGCGAGGCGTTATATTTGAGACTGGTCCAGAGGGACCAACGATTCATTTGGTATTTTGTAGTTTAAGATTAAATGCACTCTTGTACTGCGCCTGCGCCGACCCTTGTGCTTGTGCCGTTTTCGGTGGTGAGAACGGCGTGATCGAGACAAATTGCCTAGGGGAATGTGTGATTTGGAGGACGACAAGGTCTAGATTTAGACACGGAGACGACGGACTGTTGTACAGCAGCGGGGGACGGGTGTATTGGGTGATGTGCTCGGTGTGGAATGAATCTTGTCTCTGTCTCGTCCAGATCAAAAGTTGCAACATGCCGTCAGTCGTGTGTCGGAGCAAGACCAGACAATATCCGTCTGGTCAACCCCAACCCATCCGCAGGGTTGATACACTGCTCCTGCTACATCTGTATTTAAGATACCAAGAAGGTCCGTCCCACAATCGCAGTCCAAGGTCCAACCACTCGCCCTTACGCTTCCAGCTTCATCACGACAAAAGTCATTAATTACCTGTGCAGCACCGGCCACGATTTACCAGGACACGCGAGTGTGGCCTGTTAACTCCGCCAGCTTTGTTGCCAGCCCTCTTGCATCTTTTTCCTTTAGACGCTACACTCCGATTTGTCGGCACAGTCCTTTCAACTCGTTGGTCAACGGGAATGTCGGGAGGCTGAGCTATTACGATTCTACCATGGCCACGAGAACAGTCCGGAGCAGTGGAGAGCCGTTTCCCACAGCAGGAAGAGTCTTGGGCTTGGTTGTTTCCCTCCTCTCGACAAGCGTGTTGGCTCTGTTCCTGAGTAGGTGCCCTACTGCGTGGATGCTTATCCGGTGCGGGTTGGTTTTAACTCGGCGCAGCGCAGCGATGTTTGGTTGTCCGGTCTTGGAGACGTTTGCCCATTGTGGTTTGGTGTGAGTTTTGTTGATGCCGGAACGAATCGATTCGGGTGACTGCGCTGACGTGGACAGTGATGTTTGCCATTTACACGGATTCGTACATCTTTGTCTTTGCATCGGCCATGCTGCAGCACTCTATCGGCTTGAATGCTAGCTTTAGAGCTTGCGACAGCGCTATTTTGATCTGCCTCGTTTGTTATGTTACCACCAAGGTGAGAGAGCGTTTGAGCACTGTTGATATTCGGTTTTCCCCCCCTAACTGCTGAGCTAGGTTGTGAGTAGAGTTGGCACTTGATGTTTTCGAGCAAGTCTACCGGTGCTGACGGTTTGCAAAGTTTATATACCTCTTTCTGGTTGAAAAGGCGGTATGCTGCACAGTTGAAGGTGATTTCGGGGTCATGGATGACTGACGCGCGGCAGCACATCATTCGCGGCACGCCAAAGAAGAGAATCCGCTCGAGATTGTACATGTTCAACTCTCTAGGTATGATTTCGGTGTATGTGGCTGTCGTAATTCTCAACTTTGCATTGTACGTTGTATTGTGCGTACCCGACATTTTGGTGCAGCGACTTACGACTATGGTGAAATCCAGTCGGATAGCCAAGCTAGAGGATGATGGGAAGTGCATTATCGGCATGAAGAGCTTTGCCATGATTCCGCTCATTTCCTTCGACGCTGTTGTAAATGTATACCTGACAATGATTTTCCTCATTCCGCTTCGCAGTGAGTCCTTATCCGGTCGTTGGGGCAAGGGTTTGCACACTCACGTTGAAATAGACCTCTACTCATACAAGAACATGCCTCGCACGCACGCAAATATGCGACTTCGAACTGTTGCTTTCAGAACATTTTGTGGAGCAGTTTGCACGCTGCTAAGCAGCATGGTGTATGATGAGGCTCTGAAAGATGTCTTTTTGTGGTTTGGCCAAGAAGGTGCTGACATTTTTAGAAACCTGTGTATGTTAATGTCACTTGATGGTGAGCCAGGTTGGGTGTGTCTGATGAGCTGCAATTGCGACAGTAAGTTTCAGCCTCCCTCTTTCCATCCAACGCCTAGTAATCCAGAACTGAGCAACTAGTTCTTTTTTCCGCTGCTGTCATCCAATGGGTCACATCCAAGGACAACGTCGGTACCTCGACGGCCTCGTCAACAAGCGGCGTTGTCAATGGGAGGGAAGCCCTAGGTCACGATTCGATCAGGGTCCTCACTCCATACGCAGCAATTTCCTCGACAGCATCAAGTCCAGTTGAACTCTCCTTGGTAGCTACAGCCCGATCCTCAACCCAGGCCGGCATGCACGCGGACGAAGCCACAAGCGCCGGCGGCGTCATCGTCACAACCACCATCGAACGGGAGACCAAGCTCGGCGGCGGCACCAAGTCCCAAGAAAGCCCAGTGGGCATCCCGATGGGCCGCGGATACCAGGAACGTTGCTATGCTGGAGAGGAGGCCTGTGCAACTTTCCAAGAAGCGTACGGCTCTAGAGTGAACATCACCGCGCGCCAGCCTTAGCCCGACTCCTTTTGGCTACAGTGGTGGGATGTCTTTTCACTTTTTTTTTTTGAAGTCCTTCCTGAACACGCGACCTGTACAAGCCACTGGAGATCGTTTGAATACATAGTTGTAAAGGGGGCGTTTTGTAATCAAGCATTTTATCGCGTCAACGACATTGTCCATGGACTACTCCGGACCGAGTGCTCCACACGACATTCATTGTAATTTGTAAAGCTCGTCTATCAAGAATCCTATCAAAGAGTAGCGCTGTCTCAGCCACCAAGACACTCACCACTCACTCCATTGTCCATGTCATCACGGCAACTTTACCCGCGCCAAGAATGCACTAGTTCACGGAGAGACATTGAAATGCCAGTCCACTCTCGCTGATCTTACTCCAATGCCCGACATGAGCGGCAAGATATTGACATTCAACCGCCAACACTACGATGTACCCAGCAAGCAACCCACACATCACAGCAGACAAGCGACTGAGAAAAAAAACGCAAAAACATCAATTGTCGTGGCTCGTAAATCTATGTCCATCCCGGACTGGTGATTCCGCAGTGCAAGATACTGGGAGGCGTTGTAAACGAGTGAATGAGCGCAGCGCAGATTTACCTGCCGAAAAACTGAGAACAAAATGCTTGATCCTGGCGGCCACGGACTTGAGTCTCTCAGCTGTGCTTACGTGACATGCGAGAGTCAGTCGGCTCAATATATACACGAGAATGGAAGATTTCTTTGTTGATCCCTTGCGCCTGGTTATATCCCTCCCCCCTCCGGTTTTGATCTTGTCCTGATCTCTGTGAACCCTCTTTGGGTTCGTGCCTGTCCCTTATCCGATGAGTGATTGAAGCAAAAAGTGACCATGGAGAAAATGAAGTGGGTATCCCCTGGCGAGTGTACAAGAAGAAAGAGAATAAGAGAATCGGCATTTAGTTCTTATTTTTGCTGTATCTAAACTGAGGCGAAGATCTTGCCGACGGAGCTGAGAGACGTGGTTGACGACAGCAGTTTGTTGGGCTCGATCATGAAGTACGAATAGCCGTAGAGGTAGTCGAGAGAATCGAGCTTGGGGATAGCCCTCTTCATGAAGTCATCGACCTCGGAGGCGGAGCCGGTGGGAGCAAATTCGGTCAAGAAGATGGGCTTCCCCCCGCAAGTTACATGAGCTTGTTCGATGTGGTCGAACAGCTTGTCGAATTCCTCGACCGGGGAGTACCAGTGGACGTTGCAGAAGTCGTATTTGCAACCCTTGGTCTCGCACTCCGAGACGAAGTTCTTGAGCCAACGAATACCCTCTTCCGGTTTATTGCTGTTGGTGATGGCGGGAGCGCCAACCAGAGCCTTGCCATCGCAAGGATTCATGTACTTTACGTGGTAGGTGGCAGCGTCGGCAGCAGACATGGCGGCCTCGCCAGCGTTGTCGGGTTCGTTGAAGGAGAAGACAGCCTTGGCACCGTTGGCCTTGCTGCAAGAAGTGCCCCAGCGCTCAAAAAGTCATCTTTCTTACCCCAGAGCATAGGAATATAGCTGTAGGGGGGGTCCAGAGATCCGGAAGAGTCGGCCCAATTGTAAGCCCAAGTGCAAGCTCCAGGCTTGCACGACTTTCCGAAAAGGTTGGCAAGGGCAGGGTCGTTATAAGCAAGACCACGCTTGCCAGAGAAAGGGGCTCCCTTGCTGGAACCAGAGTTGCCGTCGCTGCCAGAGCTGGCAGCAGGCTTAACCTGGCTGACCTGGCTGGAAGCAGGCTTAACCTGAGTGACCAAGCTGGTTGGAGAGGGAGCCGGTGCCGCAGTAGAGCTGGAGGCAAGAGCCGGGAAGTTGGCAGCAGCGTCGATCTTGGGCGTGGGGGTAACGACGACGTGCTGGGAGGTGACGGTGCCGTCGTTGGCCTGGACCGTAGGCTGGGGAGCAGGAGCCCCCTCGGTTACATAGACAGTCGTGAAGACGGTGATCCAGTCGACGACATCCTGCTTCTTCTGCAGCTTGTGTCCATGTCGGTGCAAGCTTAGGGCGGATGCCTGTTCGATGACAGCGATGGCACCCAGCAGGGCAGAAATCTTATTGGTGTGCATGGCGAAGGTGATTTTTGTCTATACCCAAAGTACTACTTGTAAGGCCTTGTTGGTGAATGATGTTAACGATGAAATGCTGCCTCTTAGGAAGTCGAATTGGACTTTACAGGTATCGTGTTCCTGTTGATGATGAAGGGCGAGTTACAGCGCAAACGCAACGTGATATTCTTCGGCACGGCCGTTGAAGGAGAGAAAATCTTGTGAGGCAATCTTTCAAAGATGCGAAAAGGAATGGACAAGTGCAGGTGCAAAAGCAGCAAAAGGAAGAGCTGATTTGCAAAGAGGAAAAAAACCAAAACGGGTCGAAGCTAGCGACCTTGTGCTATTGTTCGTGCTCGAAGAAGCAGAAAGGAAGGACAACGGAAGCGTTGCGTGTTAGAAGGAATGTAAAGTAGGTGAAGGTGAAGAGAAGAGCAAAAGAAAAACGAATCAAAGTGAGTGGTGAGGTGGACGAGGTAGAAATATCAGGACTAGTTCGGGAGGGAAGGGAGAAGACAATGTGCGCAGTGAATGCCAACGTCTCGACGCGGCGAGAAGGGCGTGTGTTCGGAAACGGGGTGCCGGCCGGAGTGAATGATGAGTGGCTGGACTAAGGGTGTGCACGGGAACAGGGTGTGTTTCAATCAACGGCGGGGACCTTCTCCCGTAGATCTGTTCCTAGATCCGCCAAACAGCCAGTAAAGATTGGTGGTCCAATGAGGCAAAGGGAACGTGTAGCCGCTGGCAGAACGGCACAGGCGACACCTCAGGTGGCATCACAGACTTCTGGGCCTGTTCAGACGGTAGCACGGGTGGGGGAGGCACCAAGGATGAGAAGCCCAGTGGAGACGAGCGCCAGGAGCCCACTGAAACTAGTGTTCCTCAACGTCCAGAGCTGAGTCTGAAGGCTCGTGCCTGGCAAAGGCTCAAATTTCAATGCCAACGCGACAGGCTTTGTTGTCTCTGTAGCACTGCATACAGTATGGAGCACGAGGTCGAGAGACGGACCATCCAACCACCGCGAGTAGCGTCGTGTCCGCATCCTTGAGTCGGGCCCATGTGTTCAGACATGTCCCCCTTCACATGGCGTCGTAATCCGCATTATATATTATATTGTACAGCATCATGATTGGCAACAAGTTTGCCGTTTTGCTGCCGCTGCACATGTACGGTTGCCATCACCGTGCCGTCATGAGGACAGTTGTGTTGTGTTGTGCATCGTTTGGGCAACGCAAACACAATATTTTGACGAAACGGACTGCTGCCGAACAGCCACACAAAGGCATATTCTCCCTACCTTGGTACTCCGTACAGAAGCAACAAACAAAAGCCACCAGAACCGTTTCTGCAAGGCACACCACTCCGAACACGATGCTTATTCGCACTGTCCCATGGCCCCTTGAGCATTTGTCTCCTCCCTACCTCAACGTGGTGCGCATTTGTCTTCTGTCGACCAAGGAGGCGCCAAGATGATGCAGCAAGTGGCAAACAATGGCATGCTTACCGTACGATGCTTCTTGTCTTTGCCAGAGCACACAGCCCCTTGTTGAATTGCACGCTCCATGTCGAGTATTCCTTTGGCAGGCGGGACGCCAGGACAAGGGATGAACTCTGACCCGATGAGCTATCATGCGGCAGGGGTGCCATGCTTTCTCTGCTCCATAATACTCCGTACGCTGCGAACGATGGCCTCCAAGGATCAAACCATTAACGAAGCCGTGTTCCACGGTCGAGTATCCTGTGCAAGCTCTTTGACACGATCTGAGCATTAGCGGTGGCAGTGAAAAGGAGACAAACCTCTCAATAGACAGTCCCGAAAGCGGGAAATCGGCATGCACTGCCAGAACTGCTTGGATTGTACGAATCTCCAGTCGTCCCGTATTCAAAAGACCAAGGACCAGAATGATGTCCGAGCTGTAGTATCTTGGTCGCAGGACGGCCTTGCATCGTCTCCGCCGCTGTGCACTCCGTAGCAAGACAGGGCAGGGCGAAAACCCTCGTAGCTTGCCATCCGTAAGCAATCTAAAGGCCGTGAGCTTCTAGACTCGTCCAGCTCCTTCTGCATCCATACGGACTACACATTCCATTGTACCATATGTTTGCTGGCCCCGCCAAGGACGGAAAGGGAAACAATGGAGCAAAATTCTCCAGACAATGAGGACAGAAAAAACTTGACATTGCTTGGATGCCCCATCAATGGCAAAATGGCAGACCTCGTCCTTTACCCGGGCACGGAAGGGCAGGGAGCATGTCCGCCAAAGAGCCAACCGCTAGTTTCTTCCAAATGCCTGTCAAGGGCAGGTTGTCGGTACGTACTCCATACTCCACAAACTTCGAGGCCCCGGATCTGCCTGAGCGGGTTGTTTCTTTTGCTCGCATTGGCCAATGGCGTCAGGAACAGAGATCTGGTTGGCTCATTGGGATCCATCACCCCATCACCATTGCTTCTGCAGACACAACGGCGGGCTGGGCAGGCAAGGTACGGAGTCTGCACGTTGCCAGCGCCGGGACCACCTGAAAGTGTCCAGGAGACAGAGCTCCAGCGGGCTTGCACCTACCGCCGCACCTGCCCAAAGATCCCGCCCGTGGCGGCCAATCGCAGCAGGAACCAGCCCATCCGCCGAATGATCTGAAACGACGCTGACTGTGACGGGGCACATGGTTCTCAGGTTTCCTCACTCGAACGTTTCGATCAACCGCCATTCACAGCACTTGCAGAGCTTTCTCCCAACTCCCAATTCACCGTCCAAGACGAACGCACGGCGTACGGGGTAGTACGGAGTACTCCGTATCGATACCCAAGGACAGCCTCTTCGCGGCCCATCTCCAGCCATCGCCCGGCCGCTCCATTGCATCGCGTCCCGCCCCTGTCCGATAAAAATCGCCCTCGTACCTACAGTAGCGCCATGCAACCCTGCAATCATGCCAACTTTTTGCATTGGCGGCTGCAGGAACGGAGAGGACAGAATTGCGTGGCCTGCGTAGCCCGATGGCTGGGCAGGAATAGTCATCAGTGTCCCACCATCTCCGAGAATGCAGCGTTGGCCAAGGCTCAAGGGCTCTTTACGCATTGGCACCGGAGGGAACCTTGAATGTCCATTGTCAGCAGGCATTCGCAGCATTTTTTTGCAGCACATTGTTTACGTACTCAAGCACTCTGGCCCATCCCATGGTCATGTCTGGCCATGTGCCAGATATGCACCGTGTTCTTCAGTCCTCCTCCACATGACTATGTGGGAACAATTGATGGCATGCATGTGCCAAACTTAAAATACCGCAACTGTCGGATCGCACAACTGGGGAGGGTCTCGGCCTGGTTATGGTTTTACTAGTACTACGCAGCAGTACGGTGAAGAGTGAAGTGATTGGGATGATGAGGTGGCAACCAATGCAGCCTCGAGCCCGAGATTGGAACTGACCCTCCGTCCAAACAAGGTCTGTTCCTTGCTTTGACAGCAGAATCAAACCTTGGACTCTACACGTATCGAACGTGGCTGGTCCCAGCGCATCAGGTCGGTGGCTCCTCAAACTTGCGGTCAACCTGCCAAACCATGCATGCCCGACGCGCGTGTCAGCGAGACCATTTGTTTGGCAAGTCCCCAAGTTACCCAGTAACACCAGACTTGTCATTAGTTACCTCTCTGCTGTGGCTGGGTTATGGAGCCTGAAGGGATTCAGTCACCTGCTCACTCCGTATATATGTGTCTCTGTTCGCGATAATGAATATGGCGTCTCCCGGCGGCAAGAACATGCGGACATAGTCTTGGCGCTTACGTCTTCCCTCTTCGCCGGCAAATCCACGCAATTCCTAGTCGGCGAAACTAAGACTTGAAGACATTGCGCCGAGGTTCCGGAGTTGCGTGCTATTGCACAATACTCATTTACCCGCCGTCACTCGCATTGCTCGGGCAGTGACACTTCCACCTTCTGCGACACTGTTTTGCCGTGAGTTTTTCTGTGCCGGTTGGGTGAGCCAGGTAGTTCTCATCAATTATCGTGCTGGCACACAAGCGAGCCACGTTGCTATTCATGCATTTCCAATGTATGGATGGTCCCTTGGCAGCGGGTCTTAATTTCGCCTCCCAGTGTCTTGGTTTGAGGATATTGCCCGCTAGTGAGACTCGATCGGATGGACGGCAGCCAGAGGCGCGTGGGAAATTAAAGGTGGTATGAGTCCAGGGTCATGATCGGGACGGCATGGGGTGGGTTTTTCTTGGAGGTCTGTCCTTTCCGGGGCCTTGTGGAAATGAGACGGGGGAATTGAGCATGGCGAGTGATATAAACTCGTCGTGGAAGCTGGTTGGATTCGAATTTATGCCTTTAATTTGGCTGACGGCAAATAACGTTGCTTCCCTATACTGCGCCGTGCTAGACGTAGTCTCTCTTCCGAACGGCTGCTTGCTGTTGGCGGCTTGGAGTGCACCAGACATTTGGACGGTACGGCAGGGCACATATCCCGCTGTGCTTGCCAGGGCAGGCGTGCTTCAGATTGGCCTGTCGATATCATCGTCCTGGCTGCTTGGATGGAAACTGGGCTGTGTGGACGGATGAGCACCAACTGGAGTGGTACATGACATCGACGCGCAGCTCCTGTGTCCTTGCCACCAGACACTTATTAATCGACATCTGGCTCCGGTTTGTCTCTGCTGTCTGTTGGAGATATTTTCTTCTGCATTCAGGACAGGTCCTCATACCGGTCACTTGTTACACCAGAGTATTCGTAGCAGGAAGTGGCATCTTCAAGAACAACATACTGCAGTAAATGCTGATTCCATCTCCAGCTGGGTCTAGGTGAGTCATGTCCATGATGGGAGGCAAAGGCCACGGGATCTCGATCTTGAACAGGGTATATCCTGGTATCCCTGCGCGAATCATTTCGTACCTATTTTTGGCGCTCTATGAACTGACATGGCACTTGACAAGGCAGACGTGCGCATTATACTTTTAGGATCCGAACATAGTATCGTGTAAGCGAGCATAAGAGAAGTACTTGGAAGAGAACTCTTATTGCCACCAGACTC